GTGTTTTGTCTTTCTTTCTGTCTTTTCTTCTCTCTTTTCCTCTGATAATCTTAGATTCTCATAGGGAAAACAGACATCTGAAGAAAAGACCTGAGGAGTGGGATTAGCTAGAACACAAAAGGAGGCTCTCAGAAAAACAGCAACCTGATATTAAGAAAACCTGTAAGAGCAGCACGGACAGAATTACCAAGACTTGTGACCCCTCCTGAACTTTAGCCTTTAAACATTGTTCAAACATTTCATAGATTGGGAAAGACCAAAGGTACCTGACTGAAGCATAGCCAAATATATACCAGGAATTCTGAAATATGTGGTATCATAAAAAGTGCATTTAGAGTTCTAGAGACCATTAGAAACTGGAAAAAGCAGTCCTCTGCACAAAAACCAGGGTTGTTTTACTTTCAGGTAAATAAAATCAGAAAGGTTCATTTGATTTGTTCTTGCCAGGTTATGAGATGGGTTGAAGACCCAGGACCAGAGGCCAGCAGGGGGAGATATTGCACTATTTATGACAGGACAGGGCTCTGCCGTAAATCAAAAAGGCTTTATTTACATCCCTGTGCAGAAAGTGTCCTGAACAAAGTGTGACTTTCCTGCATCTGGTTTCCCAGGAGCCACATGAGCATTAGGATTTGACCCACACCCTTGCTTCTCATCTCATCTTTCCACCCTGTTTGAATGATAGTTTAGGCCTTCTGTCCAGGAAGAATGGAAAAATGATCACAGGGCAGAATAAAATTTAGATAAAGAAGCAAACAAGAAGACTGGAGAGAAAATAAGAAGAAAACAGGCAAGAGTAGATCTCAATACTGAAAGTAGGAAATTAGAGCCCATTTATTTTATGGACAAAAATGCAAAAAAAAATTCTCATTATGAGTATTAGTTTACTTGGTTTTTATTAAAACAACATAGAGAAAAAAATGGTTCATATAAAATAAAGAGAGGTTTATTTTGATGCATGGATTTGTAAGTTTAAGCCTGGCATGGGTAGCCAAGTGTGTTTTAGATACTTGTAAACATATGATATGATGGGGAAGGGTGAGCTAGGGTGAATGCTCACATCTTAAGCCAGGATATTTAGAGGGGGAAAGAAGAAACAGGGTTTTATATAACCACCATATTTGTGAACATACCTCCAATAAACTAATGCTTTCCCACAAGGCCCTAACCCCTCTCACAATGTACTATCACCAGGTAGTACCTTCTGGTACTACCACCCTAAGAGGAAGCCTATATGTATAGACTTTTATAGATATTCAAAATGCACCCACAGTTTAGCAGTATGTTAGGAAGTGGAATCCATATTAGACTGAGAAAGACTTATCTTGACCAATAGAAAGGATTTGCGCTAAAAATAGGATATTATTATTATTATTATTGTTATTATTATTATTGTGTGTGCAAAGTCTGTGAAGGATGCTGAACATGGACTTTGAAGGGTCAGCAGATATAAGATTTATGAGAAAACATCAGATGTCCTAATCAGGGATATAGCCTCTAAGGTCTCAGAAGCAGGACTTGAGCCACTGTAGGGTAGAAAGATGAAGTCACAGGACCTACCTCAATTGGACTTCAATGGGACTAATCAATACACTGTGGATTCCCCAAGTTTGCAGCATATATCAGTGTGGTCCTTCAGGGATAAAATGCACATCCCAAATTAAACACTTACCTGAATCAAGCAGTATCACCTGTACACAAAAGGGAGCTGCTTTTGCTTTGCTAACATGAGCTCCTGGTACCCCTGAATCTTCTTTGTTCCCAGGTTTCCTAGTCCTCATTTTACCTCTGGCCCCTATTGCCACGTGGACATCACAGGAGAAAAATATTTATTAATGTTTCCATGAGAATGTCTGAACAATTTCAGAGGTAGACTGTGCTCACTCTAGAAGTTAGGATTATTTGCTGGTCACTGTGATTTCCTAATTCATCTGTATTTAAATATGTGTTAGATACATTAACCTATTGTTTTTCCTGTTTTTACATTGCATCTGAATAATTTGTAATTTTCTTTCAGTGAGTCTTAGTGTAAATTAAAAACTGATATTATTAATGTTTTTATGTATTAAAAGTAGAATTTCTATTTCTTTGTCATTAAACTTTCAGATCGTCCTCTTTATCTTTGCATTAAAAACACACATAAACAAATCTATGTATAGACCCTCTATCAGATCCTTTTGACTAAGGACCATAACCAACTTTAATATGAAGCATTATTTCTATCATGAGTAGTTCTCTTCAAACACACACACACACACAAAAACTGTGACTGATTTGGAAGGAAAAAATAATAACAATGAAAATATAATAAAATAATTATGAGAAATTAAGAAATTCTATTTTAGTTTGAAGTTATGACCACTATTTTAAAGAAGAAAATCATACTTCAAAAGGGAATTGAAGGAGTTTCATTCTGAACTCCCTAAGCATCCTCATTTGTTATTTCTAATCATCTTCAAAAGTGCAAGTGTCATAAAATGGTAGAGATGTCCACATTAATTTGATCATAAGTATTCTTAATTTTGTTGAAGAATATGGAACATGGTTTTATTTAGTTTTCTTATTTTTGAACCTGGGAAGAATCTCATACTTTATGTCAAACGCTGTAGTTATACGTGTGCTAAATCCATGTAACTGATGACTTCTTAGAGTGGAGGCAGATGGCTTCCTAAACCTTGTGCTGCTGCTGTGGGTGTCTGCAATCTCAATCTGGGGCTCTACTGAGGCTGCTTGAGACCGTTACCACACTCAGGGTGAGACCTCTGTCTCTGGACCTGGCTATGGAGCTCCCCACAATTCTGGCTGTGGAGTGTCAAAATGGGATCAGTGCTGAAGAAAAAGGGTCTGAGAGTTAACTCAAGGGGATAATATTCATTTACTAGAGAGGAAAGAAATGTTCACCATGAAGGCCTGGGTTTGTGATAAAAGAGATGAACTAGGTAGACATGGAAGATTCACACTTGTTTTCATTCCATCACTGACTTTCAAAAGATGAAATTTGTGCCTGGATTTAAGAAGTGTGAGGAAGCTAATCTTGTGAAAGATATCAACTAAGACTCATGTGTCTCAGTTCCCTATAGTCACTGGTCTATGTGAGTCCCCAGCATCTGCTTTTTTCATGATCTCCTTCAGGGGACACCAGGCTGAACACTGGGGCAGGAAGAGAAAGGAAGTTTGATTTGCATGAAAAATCTGGGTCTGAAGAGGCCTTAAAATGCCAAAATCAAAGTGAGGAGTTTGAGGACACTAAGTGCTTGTGAAGATCCCCACCATGGCCTGGATGATGGTTCTACTGGTGTTCCTCTCTTATGGTTCAGGTCAGGGGAGGGTAACTGAATCTTGGGGTGCCTACATAAAAGCACTGTTTTAGGAGGACCTCTCAATTACAATAACTGTCTTTCTTATTGCTTTCAGTGGTGGATTGTCAGACCACTGTGATCCAGGAGCCCTCACTCTCTGTGTCTCCAGGTGGAACGGTGAGAATCACCTGTGGGCTTAGCTCTGGGTCAGTCTCTACAGGTTACTACCCAGGCTGGTACCAGCAGAATCCAGGACTTGCTCCTCGACCACTTATCTACAACACAAACAACCGCCCTTCTGGAGTCCCTGATCGATTCTCTGGTTCCATCCTTGGAAACAAAGCTGCCCTCACCATCACAGGGGCTCTGACTGATGATGAGGCTGTTTATTACTGCTCACTCTATATGGGTAATGGCATTCGCACAGTGATCTGAACCCATGGGGAAGTACAACCAAAACCTCTTCATGTGCTCAGAATGTCTTATACTCTACAGGGTGAAGAGAGATTAAAAAGATGAAAATTTTCAGCACTTTCATGGGAAGATGCTGCTGCTGCATGACTCCTTGTCCTACCAGTGGTTCATGCCATGTGCCTCACCCTGTCTCATTTCTCAGTGTGCATCCTTTTAGCCTAGGTTTCCACTCTCCCTCTTTGGTTGGGAGGAAGAGCAGAGGAGCTCTTATTCAAATAGGTAACCATCAGGAAGATTCAGAGAATCCTCCCCTACTTAAAGACTCTTCTCACTCCAAATACTAACAAATGATGGTTAGTGTGTTCTCATACATTGATTTGATTATGGAGAACAAATTATTTCTCACTTTGCTTTTAAATTATAACAGCAAAATTGCTTTTATATTTGTTATGATTAAAACATAATACAATTTTGCTTTTGTAATTATGTTATGAATTTAGTTGTGGTGATTTATGGTTAATATGCAGACAGAATCACCATCCATGTCTAAATTATTCAAGTATAAAAATTTCAATTCATTGCAAGGAACAATGAACAATATAATTTCAAATGTCAGCCACAAGATGGGATGTATATCTGCAAAAGTTCATTGTGAGCATATTTTAGTGGGTCATATGAATTTTTAGTATATGCATTACTAGAAATTCCCATAGAAGTCCGACTTCCAAACACTTTGTATCATCTGTTGGGTTGACTCTTCTGAGAAAGGACAAAAAGGTGCAGGACTGAAGGTTATACTTGGACACGAACAGGCCTTATTGCACTCGATGCTGACCAAACAGGTAGAGGAGATATGTTTGAAAATTCAGTATGAGTTAGTTTTTTGCTTTATCATTAGAAAATGTTGCTTTATCATTAGAAAATGATACTATAAACTATTATGTTGAAGTAATACACAATGAGAAAAAAGGAAACTCTATAAAGGCTAAGTTACGGATATATGTTTATTTATTATTGCTATCTTATGTTGCTCTTGCTTTTGAAAATCTATTTTTAACTTTTTGTAGTTTAAATAAATAATACAACTACTAAAAAGTCCTCATGAGTACAAATGGACCACACCACAATGCAGACTCAAAAACCAGTTTCTCCAGTACATTTACTAGTCTGCAAACAGTAATTTGGTGGAGCTCTCAATCAGTCTTTAAAACATATAACCTCCTGGCAAACCTAAAAGTTTTCCCTCCTTGTAGAGATTATATCAGCTGGAGTCTGTGGCATCTCCATATGGCCCTAAAATTAGCTGGTGTGCCCATGAATTCTGAAGAAACAGGAAGAAGTTATGTGTTCCCAGTGGATGCAGATTTGTGGTCAGGGTCTATGGTTGTATCAATGGGTGAGTAGGGCACATGATTCCTTCAATGCCTTCAGTTGCTGGGTAAACATGAAGTGATAATAGGAAATCATAAAATAATATATTTTATTTCAGTGCCCACTTGAGATGTGGTCTATATAATAATTGTCTTTGAGGTATATTTACTTAATCTAAATTAACTCATATAGAAGCTGGTGTCAAGAAAGAAATATAGTAATACCTATTATCTCTAAGGATAATTGTTCTTTCTTTAATTTTCTTTTTGTCATTCTCTGTGTGTGCTCACACACATGTGTTTGTATGGCAGATTGTAGAAGTAAATATACTACCTACATTTAAATGTAGTCATACATATATGTATGTTATATTTGGATTATTAATTTTATTAAAAAATCTTATGGTAAATTTTTACAATTTTATATCAATCAACCAAACAAGAATTCGTTTTCTCCATTTTTCCATTAAATTACTTTTATCTCTAAACTGACTTTTTTTTTAGTTTAAAAACTGTAAAAAGCAGATGCAAATGTTAGATAATGATTTAGGAGGAGATAAAATGGAAAGGAGCCAGAGGAGAACAGACACTTTCAGATCACAGTTCTGACACCTGTGACAGGAGCAGGGGAAGAAAGGATTGGGTAGGAGTATCCTCTGACCACAGGCAGGGCTGAGAGTCTCTGCTGGATGAGTGGCTCCTTGAACCTGGGTACCCATCAGAGAGACACTAGTTCGCACAGTAGGATCCTGGACTAGGTACCTCAGAAATTAACATTGCTTGGAGCTAACTAAGGGCAGAAAACTGACATCAAATTTTGTTTTCATGAGGGATCCCTTGTAAGACCTGTGATGGGTACTTCCTGGTTGCTCCAACAGCTTTGGTGATGCATTCAACCTCAGGACAGGGTCTGTGCCTATTCCCTTCTCTGTACTCCCCTATCTGAACCCAACATCTCTGTTGACCCCCAAATTTTAGACCATCACTAGCAGAAGAGAGGAGGATACAGAAATGTCACAACACCAAGCCAATTGACGGCTCCTTAGGAAAAATTGCATCACTGGTAACACCATCAGCAAAGATATGCCAGCACTACCACAATTCGCTGCACAAAATGATAGTTCACAATGCATACAAGTGAAACATAGTCCAGGCAATTTCTGCAAGCATTTCAAAGAGGAGGAATCTATCAATATGTCCATTTCCTCCCAAAGTAAATCAACTCCTTGATTGAGCATTACTTGTTGAGTTATTATTCATTGATGCATCAGTTTATACAGTTTACTGTGATAACTATCATAGAAGCTGTAGTTTGGTTTTATCTTTGTCTTCACCAGCACTGGGATGAAGATAGGAATTCTGGCAATGATGCTAAAAAGAAATTATGTAACATTACATTATCCCGAACAGAATTATTAAATATAATGAAAAGGAAAGGTGAAAGTAAACAAACAGATCTGTTAACCATCTTTATAACAATCCTTAACAGCTGTTTACCTAATTTAAATTAAACCATTTAAATCACATGAATAAAAAAATTTGGATCCATTTTTTTATGAGTGCTCCTCATATATGAAATATGGACATAAGCACATACAGACATACAACACAAAACACAAGTGTGCACACAAATGTACAACACATAAGACAATAGTAAAGGCCTTGTAGCTTTACACAGGTGAAATTTCCATTGCAATGTTTAAAAACTCCACAATGCATTCAAGTGTTACATAGCCCAGGCAAAATTTGGGGGCCTAATTTGGGGGCCAACAGAGGTGAGGCAAAGAACCTGACCCCCCCCACTGGTGCATAGACCTATCCACAAGTATGGCTCTATGCTGAATCTGTAGTCAGTGACAGGTATGATCCAATTGCAGTGGTATCAACCTAAGACAGGAGGCTGATGCCTAGAGGTCAGTTTATCCGATGATGGGTAAGACCATATGTTGAATTGGACAACCTAACAGGTACGGTCCCTAAGCCACATTGCTTGTTGTTTAATTAATCAGAAGGGGGGAGATGCTGAGAGCCATAGCCAAGTAGGAATGATGCATGGCAATTTCCTTGTCAGCCTACCCAATGTTGCTTAGAGGGAGGACTCTCCATTGTGGAAATGGGCTTGCCTTGGACCCAGGTCATTTGCAGTGACATTGCATGAATGTTTGAGAAAGGTGACCCTGCTCAAGGACCAGGGCGGATCCAGATTTAGGGCAGATCCGGGTTTAGGGTGGATAGGGGTTTAGGGCGATCAGGGTTTAGGGTGGTTCCAGGTTTAAGGTGTATCCTGCTGGGAATAGGGCATATCTTGCTGCCTCAGGTGTCTGCTCCTTGAGTTCCCTTTGAGTTCTCTCAGGATTCAGAGAATATTTGGGATGTAGAGTGCCGGTAGATTCTTCCAGAACATGCGTGTAGAGTGCTGGTGGATTTTCCCCAGAACCTGGGTCAAAGGCAAGCCCATTTCCACAATGGAGAGTCCTCCCTCTAAGCAACATGGGGTAGGCTGACAAGGAAATTGCCATGCATCATTCTTACTTGGCTATGGCTCTCAGCAATAGGCCTCAGAGACCTAGGGCAGGCCCCTCACCTGAGTCATTCCCCTTTCCCTCAAATAAACAAGTAACTGACCCCTGCCTCTTCCCTTTACTGTGATGGGCCTTTGCTTGCAGATTCCCTCTCTTTGCCTGTTCTGACACAGCCACTTCCCTGCTCTGCATCTCTAGGATCAACAGGCAGACTCACCAGCACTCTGAACAGAGACCTGCTTTTGGTAGAAAAATACATGTAGTCGTAGTAGCAGGACATGTATCTGAGCACTACTCAGACAACCTTGTATCTGAGTCAGACTCAGACAAACAGCCCTGCCCTGGGTTCCTCAATTGAATTTCTGGATACAGGATGTCTCAACCAATGTAGTGTATTTGTAAATCTCTGGCTTCCAGTCTGAGGATGAGAACAATTATTACTGTACTGGATATGAAATTAGTACTATAACAATAAAACAACCATATTAGGTAATGGGACGTGTCCCTCATCTCTAGAGGTTTCGTTTATGTCATTTTACTGTGGAGGTCAAGAAACTCACTGTTTATAAAATAGCACATCATATTCTGGTTTACATTAATGGCATGCTGAAGATTCTCTCCCATTACATAATGCCCAGAGGAACATCAAAATGCAAAACAAAAAAGTCTCAACAATTTATATTAATACTAAAATAATAAACTTTTCTATTATCACCAGTAAAGAAGGTATGGCACAGAAGTTGATATCCATGAAGATGATAGCCCATAATATCATTATGTCAATATACAACAATAATTTATCTAAATTATAAATTATGCATAATTGTATATGTAGTATAAAGTTAGTAGTGGTCAGTATCTCTACCCATCAGGATCTAGAGATTGTAATTGCAAATTATACACTGAATTCTGAAACTGCATTATCTTTACATAATATCATTGAATTAAACATGTAAACATTCCTGTTGTCTCTGCAGATTGACATGTAAAAACTGGTGTTATTTTTCTTTCTATTTGCTTTTTAAAATTCTTTAATTTTTGTGTATCTGTGCAGTAATCCACAGACTGGCCTTAGAGAATGGGTGAGCTCATGCTCGCTGAGCATATGTCATTATTCCTTTTGATTTACACATTACGTTAAGGCATCTGGATTTCACAAAGAATATATATATATATATATTATCTTAAGGCATCTGGATTTCACAGTGAATATACAGTTTCAATATAATACATTTATGTTCACTTCAATGTCCTTGTGGAATATTTAAACCATCCCATAGCTGTGTAGCACATTTCATTGAAACTTTAATATGCACAGACAGATGAGATTTAGTGTTATTTCATATGCTTATAGTTTTTATTAGTTGTTTTTAGATATACATTAAAGTAAAGCATATTTTTACATATTTTTCATATGTGGGATACAATCCATTACATTTTGATCCCATTCTTGTGGTTGAACATGATGTGGAGTTATAGTGGTCATTTATTAATTTATGAACACAGGAAAGTTAAGTCCAAATCCTTCTGCTGTCTTTCCTATTCTTATTACCTCCTTTCCCTTCATTCTGTATATCTAATACAATGAACTTCTATACTTACCCCACCTACTGTCCCTTCGTATGGGTTAGTAACCCACATGAGATTGATTTGGCATTTGGCTTTTTGTAACTGGCTAATTTCACATAGCATGATAGTCTCAAGTTTCATCCATTTACCCTCAAATGCTGTAATTTCAAGTTTTAAGGCTAAGTAATATTCCATTGTGTATATGTGCCACATTTTCTTTGTCCTTTCATCTGTTGAAGGACAGCTACTTTGGTCTCATACTTTAGCTATTGTGAATTGAGCTGCTATAAACATTGATGTGGCTGCATTACTGTAGTATGCTGATTTTAAGTGCTCGGGGTATAAACTTAGAAAGAGATATCTAGGTCAATGGTGGTTCCATTCCATGTTTTGTGAGGAACCTACAGATTGCTTTCCATAGTTGTTGCAAAGATTTGCAGTTTCATCATCATGTGCTTATTTTCTATTGGCAATACAGATTGTTTCATGTTGCTGGGTCCAATGGAAATAAAAATGCAACAAAATAAAATTTACTCTCCTATCTCTCACTATGCACAAATCTTAAAGTAAAATGGATCAAGGACCTAGGAATTAAACCAAAGACTCTGTCTAATGGAAGAAAAAGTAGGCCCTAATCTTCATCATGTGGGATTAGGCCACAACTTCTTTAATAAGACCCTATAGCGTAAGAATTAAAACTAATAATCAATAAATGAGATGGAATCAAACTAAAAAGTTTTTTCTCAGCAAAAGAAATAATCTGTGAGGTGAACAGAGAGTCTACATGCTGGGAGCAAATTTTTATCACTCACACATCAGATAGAGCACTAATCTCTAGGGTATATAAAGAACTCAAATAGCTAAACATCTAGAAAACAAATAACCCAATCAACAAATGGCCAACAATCTGAACAGACACTTCTCAGAAGAGGTTA